ATGGCGAACAGCATTCCGTTGAGACCACAGGGCACGACACAGAAGTGCCAAGCGCTACTAATAATGCAGGGCAGCTTGTGCGATCCACGACCACACCAGTCCGGCATTTTCTAATAGCGGCTAAGCGGCTAGGGAACAGCATGGAATGGCATGCCGAAGGCTGGGCCGTAACCGCATGGCACTGTTCTACGTCCAAAGGCTTGGGCATCGACCAGGTACGACGACGGCACCAATATCAAGATATCTCCATGCAGCTAACTACCAATTAATCAAAGCGGCCGCTTGGACATAGCTTGCCTACAATGACTGGCCTTGCCGGCATACTTTAGTGTTTCGATCGCTTACGAACATCGATGCCCCCACGTGGACAACAGGGCATACTTTCAGCCTGTACTTCTTCACGGCTTGCCCACAGAGGTTATGTCTGTGGCCAATGCTGTCGTCGTGAGTTCAATAATGTCTCGCAGTTTCCGGAGCCCTCACCCTTCGAGGCCTAAGACAGTGGCTATCAATGCTTTATATCTGAGACGTTTTCGGAACACCGATTCTCAACGGGTACGCAGCCTGGTCGTCCGACATACACAATGTTTGTAGCGACGCGAGCGTCATGCCTTTCAACTCCCAGAGGACATCAGCAACCACCAGCGCGTGCGTACACTCCTCTGAGCTACAAGTACGTGCGACATCAAACAGTGTTCATGTCTGCATTCGTCTGCGAAGGTCGAGAACCTGCCACGGCTGGAGGGTGAATCCCCTGTCGAAGAAACTCCGCTGCTTCAGAGCCTCGATCGAGTACACTCTAGAGACTGCGCTCTAATTGAGGGTCGCACTGCTGTCCACATCGTCCGAAAAGGCATTGACGCAAAGGTCGTGGTCGAACACGATTTCTCGCCGCACAATTGACCACTCGACAACCTCTTTTATCCTCCCGCCTTCGTTGACTGTCTTGTTGCTGCAATGCCAACAATCGCCTTGAGTGTTTATGCCATGTGTTTCTGCAAGGTGACGGCAAACGCTCTGCTGCTGGATCTTCGATACTGGGAGGCTGTTCGTGTGGTCATCCGTCAACACCTCAGGAAAACGACGGTCCGGCCCTTCACTTGCACTGCATCGAGTATATGGACTGAGGTCCGAGGATGTAGCATCGACGTCGCGGACATCCACAGCGTCGAGGTATCTTTTTGAACGAAGCCACTTGCACAGCCGATCAATTCCAAAGTACTCCGCTTCCCCAAGGAGTGCATGATACTGTGCAAAGTCGTGCCCCTTCGTAGTATCGTAGAATAATGGTAGCACACCGGTCCGCAGGTATCGAAGGATATGTCCGAATAGTTCGCCGTCACAATCGATGAAAAAGGAGCCATCGTCCAGAGCGCTCCCCGATCTCCCTGCAAATAGCGCTTCGAAGAACGTGCTATGTCCCAGCCAGCTACTTGGATCGGTAAAAAATGAGGAACTCGTTGTCCTCAATCGGACATATGCAACGTTCTGTGACTTCCAGCTGTTAGCATGCTCGCTTCCCAACCTCGTCTTCTCGAAGCAAGTTAAGGACGCATCGGTGTCTGAACTCTTCACGTTGTCTATAGATTTCGTAATAGTGTCTTGCATGGACGTGCTTTTTTTCTGACTCGTGCTTTGGTTCAGATCAACAATGGAGAAGGAACTTGCGGCTCGACTGTCATCGACAATGTGCAACAAATATATGGACATTGGTCACTAGCTGTTGAAAATGGTACAATTACCGCCCTAACTGCAATTGGCTAATGCATTTAGATACGTGCCTCATGATGAGCCGGCTTGTGGATGAGAAGCAGCCGCCACTTGTGTCACTTTTGCATCACACACGCACTGCCATGCTGCCGAGGCTGCTCACAATGTCGAAACTGTGCATGCTCCACAGGCTGTACCAATTCATTGAGGGGCCCCACGCACCTGTCCTATGCACTTGGTTCACGGAAATGCCGCAGAAGATGGAGCCGTAAACGAGAGCAACAGAACTAGGAGAGTGATCGATATCTGCGAGGCGTGGGAGCATCCCCTTTTGATAAGTTGCCACTCTTTGTTCAGCTTTGATTCACCATGAACTTTTGGCACGAAGCGGGAACTGTAGCACAGGTGGTGCATAACATTATTTCATTGGAAATGGGTCCCATCCAAATGCGTCGAGCAGCCTGTCTTCGGGCCGGCAAATGTTTTTGATGCGACGACATGCAGCTGCAACAGACGCCAATCACGAATTGTTGTCTGCAGACATGGAAAGTTCTAGCACTTGTCGATGCTGCAACCTGCCCACCTTGCTATGTCGTATGACTAGAGCGAGAATATGAGCATGCCAGGCCAATCAATTCTAGGCAGAGGCTTTCCGACCAATTAGCAAAATGACAGACATCCACGTAGGCAGAGGCAGACGACACCGACAGTCCGTCCGCAGTCAAGCATCGTGAGCCCTTGCTCAACATGAAGTCCACACACGATCCGATGGGTCCCCAGGTTATGGCCATGCAGTTCACTTGCGTGACGTTGAACGGCGGACCAGTGGATGCATGAGGGCATGCAGCCAGGAGGCACATCATGCGTAAAGACATGCAAGAATTACGTTCCAAGGCAAGCTGGAAGATGCGCCTGCGCCTCGGTCGCTTTGGCACCATTGGAGCTCGTAAGCGATACATCAGACATCTCCGCGGACTCGTACCAGTGACTACACTCCCGTAGCGAAGAGCCATGTGGTCTCTCTTGCAAAGCTGCGGAGCTTCTTTCTGGCCATGCGTCTTGAAGGAGTCGGTGCTTCGCCGTCTGACTCTCTTGCCGTGCGTGGGCTCCACTCTGTTATCCATTTGTTAAGCGTGTGTAGGGCGATGTAAGGCGACTGCTCCGTGGCCACACTTCTGTATCCGCTCTTTTGAGCATAGATGTGCTATTGAGATCCGATAATAGCATTCTGAGCCCGAAACTGGTCTTTCACTCACCGACCTTTTACACATTGCAGCTTTACGCGGACTCTGGCTTGACATTGGAACTTGACTGTAGTATACTCTCCATCTGTCCTGCTAAGCATAGCATTCAGATTACATGACGATGCGACCCGTCAACTTGCGGTCATTTCCCAGCCCGATCAGTCCAGCCCGCTCCTCAACCCAATCATTTGAGCTTCGCGCACTTGTCACTAAGTGTCAAAATGTCTGCATCACTCGTTAGTAGCCACTCTGTCCACAGCATAAGATGGGTCCGTTCACGTACCATTACCATGGGAGAAGTAGCGATTAATACAAGCGACGCATGTCTGTAGATCTGGTTGGACAATTTTACAGGTGCACGTCTTCCATTTGATGTGCTGGAAAACGTTTCCTGTGAAAGATGTAATGTTAGCCACTAGGGCTGTGTCATGAAGCGATTGCGGACGATACCACTGGTTTTTGTAGCTTTTTTACAGCTTATCGCCTTGTGCACTACGTTCCAACATTGAGGCACGTCTTTACAACCCATGATGTCGCTCTCGTCGATGTCAGTGCCAGCGCTGACGAGGAGGGCGCTGCAGAGAGCTGAGTGGAAGATGGTGGTGAATTGCATGATGATTGATTTTGTTGACAGCTTTCCGATGATCTTGTTGCTAGGATGGAGATTGTTGTTGTTGATTTGATCGATCAACGTCGACGAACCTCTTCCATTATATATTCTTCAGCTCCTCCGCTGTCCTCGCTTTTGTCCTTGTTCTTGCAAGTTGGAAGCACTAGGGCTACACGGTCATCCTACCAGGCCAAAATGATGAACTCGCAATCTCGAAGTCTTGCAGAGTTCTACTTGGGCAGTTAATGGACTGGATTGCATGTTTTCCTCTTTGGGAGAACAGAACACATCTTGCTGCTGCCGGGTTGTTGGCACGAAAACTGGATCATATGCCTGTCTGCCTATTGCTCCTTCTGTAACGATGTGCGGACGTTGTAGGTCCGCTGTTCTCTGCACTGCGACAATGGTACAATCTTCGACCGGAGTTGCAAAATTAGTCCAATAGGGCTCAAACGTCGTATATTCCCAGAAGATGTACCTAGAGAGACGGCTTATATAGATAGACTTAGGCTCTATCATACGAAGCGCTAACTGCCGGAGGGCTGGGTCGACTTGCAAACCCTAGGATTGACGAGGATACAACGATAGCCTAGGATTAAAACTTGTAGTTTACCAATGTTTGACGTGATGTTGGGACGGGTCAGACTCTGCATTTGTATTTTTGTAGCTGATTAAACCGTCTTGACCCCTTCACTTAGGGCTCGCAATGCAAGGACCCTGTGTGCTGGCATGCTCATCCAACGTGGACAGTATATTGTAACCCGAATGACCCGAGGTAACATTCATGATTTGGGTTGACGTCGGCCTTTTAGCTACGGTCAATTTGACATTTTGTTCTCCGTTTCGAGACGTCTAATGTGCAACAAAGCTGGCACCAGATGTTTCTGCGCGGTGTTCGTCCCGACAGTCTTGCATTATTTACGAGAGATACAAATTACTGTTCTCGCTATCGGGATGACTTCCGCAGAATCAATCAGAGTGACAGCTACGACTAGGACAGACTTTGGAAGGCGTTTCAAACTGCTTACAAGACGTTGGTTGGCAGCTGACTGACGCATCCGGAGAGGACCGGCTTCGACAAGACGACACATTGCATTTTCCTCTTCCAAAGACGCAGACTTGGCGGGTTCACTTCCCCTTCCAACTGAGTTGCCACGAAAAAGCACCTCATTTACTGTAGCATCGCTGTTGCCTGAAGAGAAAGCATGCTGCCATGCTGATGATTGACGGTAGGAGGTCGAATATGACGACGGCATTTGATTGAGGTCAGGAGGGTGAGTGCTTCGGTCTATCAAATGTGACATGAGAGCGATGCCCACAACATGATGACCGCCCAACCACTGGATGGAAATGGTATCAATGGAAAGTCGTTCAGCCTCAAAGAGATACATTAGAATTATGCTATACAGCTTCTTCCAAACAGTCACAAACGACCCTTATATCGAAGCCCCAGTGTTTTCTTTCCTCAATCTCCTCCCCATCCCCTCATCAATACTCTGGCCCAGAAGCGGCACCTTGATGAACGCAATCAGATTTGCCTCCGCAACCGCATCGAAGAATAATCCTATGCCCTGATAGAAAGAACAAGTTCCGGGTCCCACGCCATAAGGTGCAATGCTCTGGAACGTGAACCCTGTGCAATCTGGATTCGCATCACAGATGGGGAAACAATCGTCCACCGAGTTGGGCGCAGGACCTGCACCGAGAGGAATCCCACCGCGGACACTGACTCCGAGGGAAGTGGAAGTACAGAGAAGGACGTAAAGTGCGCCGAGGTTGTCCGTTACGGTGACGTTGACGTTGACGTTTAGCAGAGCGCCATCGCGGAAGCAGTAGCCTACTTCTGTGGGGAGTGTTGATTGTGAAGAGGTGGTTGCTGATGGGTTTCGGTAGCCCGGTGGGAGAAGAGCGGATGAGGTCGTGGTTGCTGGGGATTCGTAGCCTGGGGGAAGGATTACAGTGGCGAGAGTCGTGGACGACGAGGAAATGGATGTACTCGTCGACGAGGGTAATGGTGGATAGATGGGTGGAAGTACAGTACTCGAGCCGACAGGCGCAGAGTTTGATACTGAGCTTGCTCTAGCACTACTCGAAGGTAGTGGCGTGACTGTGACGGGGATCACTGATTGCGAAGGAGTGATAGCAGGTGAGTTCGAATAGCCCGGCCGTAAGATTGTTGAAGAAGCACCCGATGGCGTAGGAGCCGGAGTCGAGAAGCAATACGGTCTAGTGCTTCCATTTGTTGGAATCCAGCCGCATGCCGGTAGTGTAGCAGATGTTGCAGCTGGACATGCACTGTTCAAAACGGTACGTGTGATGACAATTGAACCTGCGAGTCTGTCAGTGGTATTCTTGGGCTTTGATCGAAACTCTACCTACTCGACGTTTGAAAGATACTGAGTAGGGCGAAGCCTAGAGCTGTCAGTGAGAAGGATGGTGCCATATTGATGATATTTGCTCGATGTCCAGATGTTCTACAAGAGCCATTTGCTCTGCTTCCAGTGGGAGACCTTTTTGTAGTATTCCTTGGCTATGCTTCTCATGAGGCTAATCTCCGAAGTCATTCCAATATATAGCAGCCATAACAAGATGGCCATTGTGCCACAAACATTAATGGTTCTCCTGCGCTTGGCGTGAGCCTGATGATATATCGTACATTCCACGGATGTGGAAAGCCGACTTGCACCAAACAAACCAATCATCAGAACCGAGCCAGTCTCAGATCTTCACGTGGTGAACGAGACAAAGCAGTGGGCAGTAGTATCGTCATGATCAACATGCTGACTGGAAACTCAACCGGGCGGTGGGCAGGGGGAAGTAAGCTCGGATTGGGCTGGATGTGCCAATGTTGACTCTGCGACTAGGTCTCAATTTCCTTGAGCGTTGAAGCGTAACTTAGTGTTCTCGTCCAAAGCTGTGAAATTGTGTTTACAGGACTTCCATTCTGAATTCCAGCAGTTCGGGCCAGGGATGTCTCACATGCGTCGACCCACACTCTTGGCAAGGATCACGTTCCTCAGCTCTCATACTTCTGCATTGTGCATATAGAAGCTGAACATCTATTGCACAGTCAGCTCTTCCTAGACAAATAAACTCATCTTCAACTTTTCCGACAACCTTGAAACTTTCAGATGCCGAACAGAAGGGATGTTAACAGAGATTGATCAATCAAGAAAGCTTTCATCATACTCGCATTGACTGTAGATCTAGATCCTTCTCGCGGAGAGCAGCCACGCTGGAACACACTATCTTGGTTCTGAGGCCGATCGTTCCCTCGTACAGTTGACTGGATTGTGCAACGGAATTTGCCTACTGCATTTCCCGCCTCATTTTCGTTGGCTCCTTCGGCTCACCCTGATAGTTCGTCTTCCGCATCCAACCCTCCAAGGTCTCGATAGCCAGTGGTGGATGAATCGTGCCTTCCGGCCAGCCACTCCCACGATTGTCCCTCCACATGCTCCACCAAGCACTGAAGGTCTTTCGAAACGTGAATGTTGCATCGTCGTCATCAGCTGCTTTGCCCACAGGGAGCTTCTGGTCCACAGGAAACTTTGCAGCTGCACCTTCAAACCACTTCTCTTGAGGTATCGAAACGAATCGAGCTTTCTTGCCAGTCACTCTTCGGAAAGTCTCTACGATCTCAGGAAATGTAATGTGAAACGCTCCTGCGGCAACCCAGCGACCAGCAGCTTCGGAAGGGTGCTCGAATATCCATGCTGCAGTTGCACCATAGTTGTCCAATGCCTGGAGCGGTATAACGCTATCCTCGTTCACGGGGGCTGCGAAAACATACTCATCGGCCATCTGCCTGGGAAGGAAAGTACTGCCCAACATCTCTGCATAAGGCCCGCCGTACAGGATCGACCAAGGAAGTTTCTTCGCATCCTGCTGATAGAGCCAATCTGCAACATTTGCCTTGACCAGGTTGTGGCTGTTCCGAAACTCTTCTGCGTAGCCGAATTGATCGCGATATCGATTCATGGCACCACTATAGACGAAGAGCTTCAAGCCGCTCTGGGCTGCGATCTCGTAGGCACGGAAAGACCAGAAGTACTCATCGCCCTCGCGTGTGGAGAATGAGTTTATGATGAAGTAGCAGGCGTCTTGGCCACGGAATGCTGTTCGAAGTCCATTGTCTGTATCATAGCTCGCCTCGATGACCGTGACGTTAGGCAATGCAGCTATGGCCTCCGCCTCTGCTGAAGATGGGTTGCGAGTTGGGACTGTGACCTTGTGTTTCCCTGTGGCAGAGAGAGCTGCAGAGAGCATAGAGTCAGCACGATACTGTATATGCAGACACAATCACAGTCTGAATATTACGTACCTCGAACGATGGGACCAGCTTGAGCACCAGTCCCTCCAAAAACCACAATCTTTCCAAGCGACATCTTTATCCACAGCTTTTCCGATATTGTCTTTCACCCAGGTATTTATGTGTTTGTAAACTGCCGCTCCTGCCCCGCAGTCTAGGTCATGATTACTGAACCTTAGACAGCCGAAAGTCTAAACTTTGAACATGTAAGACTGTTTACTTATTATCGGGTCAATAAAGAAGTGATTTTCTCCGGCACATGCAATTGAATCAGCTCATACGGCCGCATACTATCCTCACCTTCTCCCTAGCCCAACTGCGTCTTCGTAAGTCGGCAATTCATCCTCTATACCCATGCCCTCATCTTCATCAGCCGCCGGCGGTGGGCCTACAGGCTCGCCTTGTGCATTGGTCACGAATGGTCCACTCTCGTGCACAAGTAAAGGTATGCTTCTCGTCGCACCGATAACTTGTTTCCCGATCAAGAGATCAATTTGGATACGGATCTCGTATCTGCGACTGGTATACGTTGAAAGAGAGGGCGGGACATCGTAAATTGGCACAGTCTGGATCATCTTGGGTGTGATGAACGCATGAGGCTGATCAGTGGGCAGTAATTTCGCAACAGATGGCGTCCGTGCATGTTCCGGAGCTGATGAACGAGAGGGACCGGGTTCCATATCGAGCTCGGCCATTCGCTTGGCCAGCATGGCTTTTTCGGCTCGGCTTCTATCATCACTGTCCATATGGTCGGGGTCCAAATGCTCCTGCAAGCTGTCCGGGGACTGTCGACTTTGTGCAGCTCCATCCGGAGAAGAGTTAGGCCCAGCCACTTGTTCCTCTTCTCTCCTCAAGAATCGACCGAGATATGCCGGTGCCTTGCCTTTACCTGATCTTCTCTCTTCGCTCGAAGTGCTTGATTCTAAGGCACGATTCTCAGACCCTTTCTCTATAGGCATGGCGTGAAATGGACCTTCTGGTTCAACACTCCTGATCTCCACCTCTCGGGTTGTCCTCCTTTCGGATTGCTCGTCTCGCCCTCGTTGTTGATTCGAGCTGGGAGGCACAGTAGACATTATGGTAACCAGGTGAACCTTACAAGTCTTGAGCGATATATCTGGCAACTCCGCGATAGTACAACGATCCCACTGCGGATAAATGCTGACCTGAAAACTGAGCTCGCTCAGAGCATTCTGGTCATGTAATGCAATGATCGAAGGTATTCCGGATACGTGAAGTCGTCCGGTAAAAGTCGGTGTATATTCCTCTTTATACAACCAATTGCCGTACATGAATTTGATTGCGCCTTTTGTATCATCACGCGCTTTGTGATCGAGTAGACTCCGAGAACGCACTGTGAAATCGTGGAAGAATGCATCTGTTCCTTGTACTGTTTGCCATGTGGGTGGTAAGTAGCTGATCCTCTGAGAAGCATTGCGAGGCGTCCCCCCTTCGGTATTTCCGGGAGACTTCACAATTATAGACAAGAGATAGCCGACCTCAACTTCGTCAGGTTTCGGATATTTATGCAGGACTGCTGCCGGCGGCAGTCTTTCGCGACTTTGAGGTGCAGCTCTAGGTTCTTGAAGTTGCCATTCACTGGGGACAGCTTCATCGTAGCCAGGAGGCATGTCGAGCTGCTCATGCTGAGTGGGAAGCCTGTGTCTCGAAATTGAACCAGACACCCGGGGTGAAAGCGGAGACGCGATCGAGTCTGCAAATTCTGGGAAGCTGATTGAGAATGATGAAGACATGGTGTCGCCCTTCGAAAGTCGAACCGGAGCATCGTGAAGGTACACCCTCTGGTCGCAGAGAACACGATCTCCTCTGTAGCCACTAAACATGGAAGAATTCGCCAGCCCCCGATCGTGGCGTCTATTGTCTCGGAGGGCTTCTTTCAATATAACACTGACTACCAGAGGGCCACAGAACTCTGTTTCTCCATCTTTGGGGTTAAAAGTGACCGTGGCAGAGCCAGTAATGATGTCGCTCGGACCATGGTATGTAGCGCTTTCGCGATCTAGCTGCAATGTCGATTCGAGATAGCTCAAGCCGGATTCAGAGGGCATACTTAGTTCTGCTGGGTTGTTTCGAACGTTACCCGAAGCACGGAAGTGAGCTGCCCGCGGTAAATAGTGGATCGCAGCTGAATATGCAGCCAAGCACGGAATGTTGCTGCGCCATGTGAAGGATTCCCTTGGCGGTCCGCCCAGACTGTTCGTGGGAGCTTGTTCAACTAGCGCTGTTTACAACTTCAGTCCAAGTTCAAGAAATCAAGCGTGAGGATGCAGTCAATGCCTCATACTGAATCGTATAAAATTGGCAGAATCTGGTGCAAACGGTCCCAAGACGATCTGTCTGCCTAGTCGCAAGTCGAGATGAGCAGAAAGAATTTGCATGTCTTGTAGAGCATTAAGTGCAGACAGAACAACGTCTCTTGCGGTTTCGCTCGCATCTTTCCAGTCTCCATACCTTACGGAGTGTAGAACACTGGCATTGTTGGCTGCCAGTCAGTGAAACAAGCAGGCAGTCTTCACAGCATGCAGAACAGACTCGGCCCATCTTGCATTGCCTCTAGCGTCCGTGAACGATGCCGACTAGAGCATATATGAGAAGCAGCCCTCAGCTCTCGAACGAGAAGATACAAGAGGCTGACAACGAAGCACAATGTCCTCCTACTGGCGCAATCAGATTCCACCATACGGCAGTCCTGCCGGAGACTTCAATAGCGAAGTCGACGCGCGCGATCGTTTTTGGCGGCAAAGCATCATCAACCGATATGGAGGTGATGCACGAAATCCAGCTGTAGGTGCCCCTCCTGTGTACCTGATTCTGGTGGTATCTCTTCATTGACCTCATGTGGACTTCGTAGGCTGTGTACGGCTATAACACCGGCCAAGATCTCGCAGGTATGCGGCAAGCATGGATGAATATGCAAGATCCGAGGTTCGCTGCGATGCAGGAGCCCAGGCATGGAGGTTGGTATTGAGAGGTATTTCTTTACTCCCCAAGTCGACATCCGGATGTTTTTTTGGAGTAGGCAGCTAGTCAGCCGTATAGTGCCCAGTCTTTTGTCGTAAGGTTCGGACTTTCCACGTGGATTTTGCGTTCGTGATGTTCCATGGTAGTGGATTTCCCACCTTAGCCAGCCCGCATCGTAGCTAAGGACGGACATGTGCGGGAAGTTTTTAAGGACATGCGGCCTCAGCGACAATGTATATGTATTACATCTTGCGTCCCTCTCGCAAAATTTTGTCATAATCATTCAACACAGTCACGCCTTTCTTGAGGGCGTCTTCGATTGTTGGCACGTTCGACATCATGGCTGCCGACCCAGTCCAGAATTCATCCGAGCGGCCATGGCTTCCAACCCACACACAGTTCATGAGATACGTCACGCGTATCCAGTCCGCGTCTGATGTGCGCTTCGAAGACAGCTGCGCGATCTGTTACCAAGACGACGAAGTGCCCTTTCGCACAGCATGCGGACACATCTTCTGCAAACCCTGCTCGTTGAAAGTCTTCACAGACCACGAAGCTTGTCCCATGTGCCGTTGCACACAATTCGAAAGAGCCACGACGTTGAGACCACTTCATTTGGCGGAACATCCGATGGACCAGTTCCCGATTGTCGACAGACTGTACATTAAAGGAGTCAGTGAAGGTGATCGGCAACAATTCGAATATTTCATGACAAGGACCCCAGCGCCCACAACATTCAACTGGCATGTCATGAGATGGCGCGCTGGGAGGCTCGATCTCTCGGCTCTGCAAGACCCGAGGCCGCAGAGATGGGTACACTTTGGATATTCGCACAATCGCTTGGCAGTGCTTACTGCCGTACATTTGATTAGGCCTCGTGGGGGTTTGCACGACTCCCACGGCACATGCAAGTCGAGCTGGACCGAAGTTGGCGACTTGCTCATAGATGCACTGCGTTTCTACCAGGGGCGAATGATGCCAGTACAAACATTCATTGAATGTCTAAGATGCTTTTACAAAGACAACAGCACGAGAGATGTCGGGTCGGCGTTTACTCGCAGTCCGGACGATGGTTATGCATGGCCGGAGTGTTGCAATGGATTTGAGAGGAAGCGCTGTTTCCGGAAAGACTTCGATTGCGTGCTGGACTTCATTGCGCTTGCTGCCCATCGAGCGAACGCAGCCTGGGGCTTCACGGGCGAATTCGATTATGCCGCTGACACGATTGCGTCGCAGTCTGAAAATATGAGCGTGCCATTCTGGGAGATTGAGGATGTTGGCTCGCTCGAGCTGGAAGCAGGCCCTGATGACTTGACAGACGAGATATCGGTGCAGAGTCTGTCAGTCGCAAGCGCCGGATGAACATGCTGGTAGTGACCGATCAAAGTGTGGAGAGCTTCGTTGGGTTCGGCACCAGGAACCAGCTGATAGCCAAAGCAGCAAGGAGTCCGATCAAGATAGGCTGCAGAGTACCAACACCACCCTCAGCAGCAATGACACCAGTGATGGCTGGAAATACAGAGCCTCCGGCTTGAGCCATGACGAATATTACAGCTGAAAACGTTAGCATAAATGGGACAAAGTGCGGGGGTGGGTGAAACGACAGGCGTACCAAGACCGGACTGTTGGACTTCATGCGGCATCAGCTTGGAGCCGACAGAGATTCCCGTGGCGAAGAGTGGCCCAAGGAAGAAGCCCATGATGCAGACGATGACTGCGTTGGCAATGATGTTGGGCACCCGCCAGAAGACGACCTGCAAGACCACACAAGTGAGGGTGTACAGCATGACCATACGCTTCTCTCCGAATCGGAATGTCGGCTCAGCGAGAAGAAAGCGTCCAAGTGCTGTGCCACCATTGTATGCAGCGCCGATATAGCCGACTTGGGAAAGGTCGCCTCCTCGCACTTCAACCAGATACTCAACGATCCAGCCTCCCATAGTAAGTGCTGCGCCTATGTAGAGAAAGAAGAAAGCACTGAGCAACCAGACTGGTTTCTGTTTCAATGCTGCTTTGAGCTCCGTCCACGCCACCCGGCTTCGTCGCTGTCCAGTAGGAGATGATTGGTGTTCTGTTGTGGAGGTCTTCTTTCCAATCGTAATGTCATCGCGAAATGCGTAGATGCAAAGCGCAAGGTTGAGTGCACCGATACCAGTAGGCACATAGTAGAATGCGGCCCAGTTCCCATTGAGGTTCGATGCAATTGCTGATGCTATGAGTGGACCACAAAGACCGCCAACAGCATAGCTCCCATGTATCAAGCCTAGCCATCGATGTGCCTTGACGATCATCGAGACGAAGTTGTTCGCCTGCGAGTCTTGCAAGCCTTGGCCGAGACAGATTGGAAAGAACGAAAAGGCTAGCAGGCCGAATGGAGGGGTCCAGAATCGTACAAGCTGTGCAAGAAGTTGCAGAAGTGCACCAAGGGCCAGTACGCCACCTGCGCCGAACGACAGGCGGATATACGCGATGACCAAAGCTGCAAGGAGCCAGCCGAAGAAGGAGACGCCGTATGGAATGGCCATCCAGCCCGTGGAGATGTCATAGTGGCGGAGAATGTAGGGGATTAAGGCTCCGAGACTGCCATCATTGACGCCAGCATTGAAGAACGCGATAGCCGCACTGAAGATCTTGAGCTGGACTTTAGGAGTCAGTTCGATGCTGGAGACTGCTTCAGTCACGTTTTGAGGTGGAGGGGCTCCAGCTTCGATGGTTTCCTCGTTGACTGCGTGCAGTTCGTGCGTTTCCGGCGCCTTGGTTGGTGCTTCTACAACTGTGGTTGTCGCCATGGCAGAGGTGATGATCAAAGACACGAGAGCCGTTGAACAATGCGCTGGCGTTGGCGAGCTGACCTCCCGCCTTTTGTGTCATCGTGCACGTTGTGCTGCTGTTGTCGGAGGAGTGATGTCGGAATTCCGTTTCTGTCCTGTCGACGGTTTCACGGACCGTCGGACCGCACTCCATCTTGAGACTTCCCGCCTTCATCTCCGCTCCTCCTCTTCTTCCCACCCTCTCCTTCTCCTCCCTGCTCATCAGCATCACAGTCGTTGCCAGATCGATGTGCTGTTATATGCATCTTGGAAAGGACCGGTAAAACGGAGATTATGTTCAACGTGCGCGCCACAAGCAGCCACCTCGAAGCTGCCGAGCCCAGAGCTATTTTCTGCTCACGGCGTTGCGATCTGCACTCATCCAGCCAGTTTCCAGCCGTAAGAAGCTACAAGCTCGCATGCCAATTCAGGATCATGCCATGCACTCCCGGAGGATGCTGATCTGGATGTGTAATACTGCCTTCATCCAGTAACATCGGAACGGTGCTCAGTGGTATTGGATGGCTAATCGGCTACAGATGATCTTGACACGCAAAGACTGGCACACCCTCTGCCACGTACCGCATTCACTATTGGAAGGCTGCATTGTATACGGGTACAGCAGTTGGCCACGCTGAAGGATGCAAAATCACCCGCCTTTAAGGCTTATACCTCAGCCAGTGCTTTCCACCGATGCTTAGCTGTCGCGATTTTTCCATTCATTATAGCCATCATGCTCTACCAATCGCGCAAGTATGGCTTGGCACTTCTGGCTCTGTTGACTACTTCCGATTGTGTTCCGACAGAGAGAGATGTCACTAAGGCAAATGCTGAAGCAGCCTACAAAGCCTTGCAGGGCTGGTACAACCAGTCGACAGGACTCTGGATCCCTAGCACTGGCTGGTGGAATAGTGCCAATTGTATGTTGTGCAGCAACCCAAGCTATGCATGACTGACTAAGTCTCAGGCATGACCGTCATTACTGAACTTGCCGCTGTCGACAAGAATGTCCAGGACTCGGTGCAGAAAGTCCTCTCCAATACGTACACCAAAGCACAGCAGTACAACCTGCAAATGATGAAGGAATCAGGCGCGCAAAGCCGGACTTATATGCCCCAGACCTACTACAGTAGTTTCGAGCCCTACATTCCGGACTCGATGCTCAAAGCTCATGGTCAGCCGCGAATGAAGGCGACTGGTGGGTTCCTCAACGACTATTACGATGATGAAGGATGGTGGGCGTTGGGCTGGATCGCAGCATACGACCTCACCAAGGACAGCCAGTATCTCTCACAAGCCCAAACCATTTTCGCAGATATGAACAAGGTCTTTGGCAAGACTAACTGCAGCAAGAACAGTGTAGCCACGGGCGGTGTATGAACTCGCCGCACATCTGCTCGAGGAGATCTAGCTGACAGTACTTCAGATCTGGTGGGACAAGCCGCATACTTATGTCAACGCCATTGCGAACGAGCTGCACCTGAGTGTAGCAGCATCTCTGGCAAATCGTGTCAAAGGTGGCAATACGAACTACCTTGCCATTGCCAAGCGGCAGTGGTCCTGGTTCCAAGGGTAGGTGTTGCTCGCTGCTTAAGTCAGCAAATGCTGACACGAGTGCAGAACTGGCATGATCAACTCCAATTTCACCATCAACGATGGTCTTGACCAACAAACGTGCAAGAATAATCAAGGCACCGTGTGGTCGTATAACCAAGGTGTTATCCTAGGCGGTCTGACAGAACTCAGCAAAGCGACGGGCGACAAGGCTCCGATAACAACTGCTCAGAAGATCGCGGACGCTGCGATCGCGAAATTGGCACCCACTGGTATCCTGACAGATCCATGCGAGCCGACTTGCGGTGCAGATGGTGCGCAATTCAAGGGCGTCTTCGTCAGGAATCTGCAAATTTTGCAGAAGGCCAGCCCGCAAACCCGATATGCCAAGTTCCTGGATGCAAACGCTGATAGTATCTGGCGCAACGATCGTAACAACAGAAACCAACTCAGCGTGCGGTGGACGGGTCCTTTCGTGGCTCCTGCGAACGCCTCAACGCAGAGCTCTGCGCTCGACGCACTGGTTGCATCGTTGGCCACTTGAGTGCGACTTTCATATCTTGCACAAGGGCTGTTTCCTATCGTCTTAACGAAACCAGCACAGTATTTCATTGTGTCGTTCTTCTATTTTTGGACGAACTTTCATTCTCAGCAATGTTCTTATCTCTTGCACCTCCAAAGCAGTTATCATCGCGACTGAGTCTTCTCCTCACTGTCTTGCCGAGGCCGTGGCCAGAATGTTGAAGCCTAGAGAACATGCATACCTTGAAGCATATACGTACTTATGGGAAGCTGCGCGGGTTCCACGGGCAGCACGGGGCCATGTCCATGTTGGGGATCGTACCCCGGAAAGCATGGACACGGCGATTCGACAGCTCGTTCTCACTCCCAAATCGTGCAATTGCTCTCTCCGCAGACCGCCCGAACAAGGCACCACTCTTCTTCTCCAATGTGGGACACAACGGCCTCGGTAATTTTTGAGACACGCGCGAACACCCGCTCGGCGAGGAATGAAGGGGTGGCGACTTCCAGCCGCAAATACGCGTCCGTGATTGGCGATGCACGCGCGTACCGAGGCATCCCCAGGTGGAACAAAGTTCACTGTTCCCACAGGCTGGGGTCAAATGTTGTGACGTCGAAGAATCAAATAGCCCATCGTGTGCCTCTCTTTCAAGTGCTTGGTCGATCGGAGTTCTCTACGCTGCTGAACAACAGTGTACGACCTTTCTCTTATCCTGTCCCAACAGCACCGACAAACCGCAAATATGGCGTGGCAACCATTGGAGAAGGGAGAGAACAATTACGATGTTATTGTGATTGGCGCAGGCATTTCGGGCATCAACTTTGGGTACCGATTGCAAGAGCGAAATCCTCATCTCAGCTACTGTATCCTCGAGGGACGACATGAGCTGGGCGGCACTTGGAGTCTTTTCAACTACCCTGGTAAGTTTGACAATATGCAGTACTTCGAGTGATGAGACTGATTTGGCCTAGGAATTCGATCCGACTCTGATCTCTACACATTCGGCTTCCCGTGGCGACCATGGAGTGCCACCAACGCGATCGCCCAAGGCGATCTGATCTGGAACTACCTCAAAGAGTCTGCAGAGATGTATGGCATCGATAAGAAGATGAAGTTCAACCACCAAGTGGATGAGGCGAAATACTCTTCGAGTTCGAAGTCGTGGGAGTTGAGCGTGACGGCGAACAAGAGCGAGAAGAAGACATTCAAGAGCAGGTTCATGCTTCTTTGCACTGGCTACTACGACTACCACACGCCCATGAAGGCTGAGATTCCTGGCATTGACAACTTCAAGGGTCAAGTCATCCACCCACAATTCTGGCCCAAGGACCTGGACTATACGAACAAGGAAGTCGTTGTGGTCGGCTCCGGCGCAACTGCCATCACCATTCTGCCAGTCATGGCCGAGAAGACAAAGCACATCACTATGCTGCAACGATCACCCACCTACGTGCTCGCCGTACCAGCAGAAGATCCCGGCGACAACCTCCTCCGCAAACTCTTCGGCTGGATCCCATCAGTATCACACAGCCTCATCCGTCTCAAATGGATCATCATGCCACTCATCATGACAACTTACTCCGCCCTCGCACCAAAGCGCGCCCGCGACCTCATGCACAAGCTCATGTCGAAGCAACTTCCATCCTCCGTCCCCCGAGACCCTCACTTCACACCAAAATACTACCCATGGGAACAACGCATGTGCATGTGTCCCGACGGCGACTTCTTCAAGAGCTTGCGAAAGGGTACATCAAGCGTCGTAACAGGCAACATCCAGAACATCACAGAAAACACAATCCAACTCGCAGACGGCCAAGAACTCCACCCCGACATTATCGTCACCGCTACAGGCCTCAAATTATCCTTCGCAGGAGGTATGAAAGTCTCCGTAGACAACAAACCTTTCGACATTCCATCCAAATTCGTCTGGAAGGGAGTCATGATTGAAGATCTTCCCAATGCGGCTTTCGTTATTGGATATGTTGATGCTTCGTGGACGTTGGGAGCGGATGCTACTGCACAAATGGTGACGAGGATTTTGAACAAGATGAAGAAGCAAGGAGTAGTGGAAGTCATTCCAAGACAATCAGAGTGGGATCGCAAGAACGTCAAGGAGGCGAACATCATGCGCTTGAACAGCACATATGTGCAAAAGGGCAAAGATGCTGTGCCTAAAGCTGGTGATCGAGGCCAGTGGGTGCCACGAAGCAATTATTTCAGGGATATCATGATGGCTTGGTTTGGAGATATCAAGACTGGTGCTGAGTGGGTCAAGGCATAGAGGGTTGAAGCAGCCTTTTGTTTTCTCTTTTGTTGTATACTTTGTGAGTGCGATGGTGTTGAGGGAGCAGGGCATCTCATCGTCGATACCAGGGCTGGGCTTATTTACGGAACCATAGATCAGACTTATACAGAACAGCTACGAAGAAGGTAATTCTCACAAAGCATAAATCTTCTAATCATGGCATTGTTTCGTGTCCTATTCGCCGCGCTCGTGATCGTGGTCAGGGATCGTGTCGGCATTACGAGAGCCAAACAGTGCCGGACCCGCATAGTCGGTAAGCATTGCTGACTTCACTTGCTGCACAAACTTGTCCTTCCTTCTTGGAATAATAGTATCGTCAGCGTATTCATCCTTGAAGTGTCTGCATTGGTTTCTGCAATCGTAGAAGAGCGCTGGGAGTGGTCAGAAAATAAGCATTCGGCTCGTTATGACAAGCCCTAACGCTCGTGTTTGACCTCATCTTTGGCTCGGTATCATTCCCAATCTCGTGCTGTTCTGTCTTCGTTCTGCACGTTACCTACAAATTCGTCGCTCTCAACAATTTCAATCACTTCTCATCCCCCACAATCAAGGCGGGATCTTATATTGCCAGAAGTCATCCAACCATACACTTCTACAATCGAAGAAGAAGCTTCTTCCCTTGTGTTTCGTCAACTCCGTCACCTTATGACATTGATTGACAAAACCTGCTTCGTCGGAGGTGGCCTGTATTCAACCCAGTCAGTATTCGCCAGCAAAAGATGATGTGTTAGTCATGTCGCCAGCAGCTCTCTACGGAGTCGTTCCGATGTTCCGTTAGACTGAAGAGCGAAGTAGAAACTTGCGACTTCAGAGCAAGAGATATCTGCAACAGCCTCTCGCGATTGTTCGCAGCAAACGTCCAGTCCGTAGCCAAGCCTCGTGAGCTAGAAAAACGAGTAGTCTACGCCCGGGAAAGCTGGTGAAAGCTCTAGGGCATAGCAGAGAAGAAAACCCGCACTCACATTCAAAATAACATAAATCGGCTTCTCCATCACATAAGGATGAATCAAATGCGGCTGCCGACTCCCACAATTATACCCCTTATAAACTTCAATAATACACCCTCCAATCGACTCATCATACCCCACACGCTGCTGATAATCTTGATCTGGTGGATAAGGATAATTCGATATCTCACTCCTCAATTTTCCGAAGCGGAAATTGAAACTTCCGAACCAGGCGGGTTCCTCGAGGATGTAGCAGTGTCCGGCGTCGCGGAAGGTTTCTTTCATGTAGATTTCGCGGTGTCCGGTGTCGTTTCGGGCGAGAGCCGGGTCGTGGAGGTAGGGGTCGTCGGTGCAGGAGGTGTCCCAGAAGGGTTGGACGTTGATGTCGGTGAGTTTGTGGATGGGGGGCCAGGGTTTCCAGGCTTGGGTCCTGGGTGGGAGGAGGAGGAGAAGGAGGGCCGGGAGGGTAGCCATGCTTGGGGTGAACATGATGTGCTTGTTTGTGACTCTGCACAGCGATGGTATGGCGATTGAGGGGTGTCCAAACGCAGGAGGCCCGGTGCCTGAATGTATCAAGGAAACACTGAGATTTCGAAGAGGACAGGCGTATGTGTTTGAGCATCGAAGTGCTTGGCGTTCGCCAAAGGTCGTTCCGTCTGCTTCGGAACCGGACGGCGATGGAAAAGTGTTCTCTGCACAGTGTCAGGCCTTTCGACTGCTGGTGGACACGCCATGCCGATGCCATAGACATCTGCGGCGTGCGGAGTGGTGGTTCCTCTCATACTCAATTCTGGTACTTCCGGCACGCAGCAAAACCTTCTCTTGGTGAGATCCATACTTAAAGTGGCACGGCTCACGCCGGCTAGAGAGAGAATAAAGCATTATGATACTACAACACTATACTGATCAAATCGCTCGGCCCGCGAGCTTCTGTTATGTCTCCCATACTTCCGACTCATCTAAGCTTCGGATACCTCACTGTCTCTTTCTATCACAGTACTCAAACTTGTCCGCTCAACCGGCGGCACAAAGCTTCCATCCTTGAAACCATCCAGAGTAACTTTCTCCACAGCGCAACACGTGGCAAACCCAGCACACCTTAAATACCAGCAAGGTCCCAGCCAGCTCAGCTCGATACAGTGCCCTGCGCCTCTAAGAATCCCGCTCTCGACTCGTGGGGCGCTGAGAAAAGCAGAAGTGAAGTCTCCGATCCGTTCTACACTCGAATCCCATATTAGATCCATGTCGGCGAGGAAATACATGACAGGCACGTTGATTTGCGCCGCCATACTTCGCCAGTAACGTGGGTAGTTGTCTGGGTGGTTGAAGTCGGAATATTCGGAAGTGAGCGCCGGACATGATATCGCTTCGTGGGCTTTGATGGTCTCGAGTGGAGAGTGGCCCAAAGCAGAGTTCAGCATGAGTTTGGTCTTTGGACCCATGTTCCAGTGTTGGTATATGGGTTCGCCGTTCTTGTCAAAAGGAGGTTCCTTGCGCATTGCGTCTTCATTCAGCTCCATCGCTTGCCGTGTACCCATTCCTGTGAGAATGAGGCCTCCTAAGGGATAAGTGCGCTCCTCGGGCGAGTCGGTACATGACAGGCTCGATGTGATGAGTGCAACGGCACCTCCGATGCTGTGTCCCAGGAGCACTATTGACGTCGCACCAAGCGGCGGACCAAAGGCGCGCCAGAGTACCGGTAGCACGAGGCGATGGAGCCAAAGCGCTTCGTTCTGAAGATGTGTGTCGGAGCCTGTGTTTTCGGTTCTCCCAAGCTCTGGAGTTTGCTTGTAACCCGGTCGGTTGAGTGCTATAACAGGGATGGATAGCTGGTCTGATATGTTCCGGATTGAGTAGTGTTGATGAGCATCAAAGTACTTTGCGCAGTAGGAGCTTCCGTGGAGGCAGATGATGAGTGGAGTGCCATGACTTGATCTTTTCACGTCCTCTGGCTTGACTGGAAACGACTTCAGCCCGCTGACTAAATCTCCGTTGCCGACGTCGACCACGAACGGCTCCATCGCATTGCGCTCTGGTGACTTGGGCGGCATGTCGCCGAGAAGCTGCTCGAGCACTAATGCAGCCAGGTTGAGCGGATAGGTGATTGGATTCCGTACTGCTGGGTGCGCTGTAAGCCGGCCAGTATGGGAATGTGCTGTCAATAGTCCGTAAGGTGCTATGCAAGTGGTGCGACAGAGAAAGGTAGCGAGAACCAGGATACGGACGACAGCGCAATGGCAGTTGCAATATCACCTAGCTGCCAGGATATAGGTAGGTACTCAAAGCAGCTACTGCCAGCAACTATGGCGATGCCGATCATAGTTGGGCTGATAACTCGCATGCCCAAAAAGTGCGGATCGCAGCCTCAAAGGCTCACTCAGTCCACAAAACGGTTAGCATATTGCAGGGTTAATATGGAATGGAAGGAAACGCGTGGATACGGACGCCATGACTACATCCTTCAGCGCGAGCACGGTGCAAAGCGGCGAGAGGGTGTGAGGAAAGTGGGGGGCAAGCAGTGGTCTTGGGAGGTAGAAGCAAGAGCTGTGTTGCTCTCTGCTTGCGAGCGGTGCTTCGCTTAAGGTCTCAGACTCGCGGTCCAGATGCCGGGAGGACACCACGTGAATGGGATGATGCCACACTGCAGCGGGAGCTGCCCTTGACGCGTTTACCCATCGCGGTGGGATTGGCTTTGCTCGATATCTGCACGGCATCGACGACCTGCCGACACCACCGGCGGCGCCGGCGAGAGTTCGTTGAGGAACAGCTCGATTCCAGCTGCCTCTGGGGAGCTACCTCCGCGGGCTCTGTATAGTCTTCTCATCATGTCCAGCCAGTTGGGCCGCAAGTGGCAAGTTGCGTTAACCTTTGACTTGGCAACCACCCGGCTCGCGACGACGGGTGCGAGTCTCGTGACGGCATGTGCATGAGATACACTATTGCCTGCGCGCATGATAAGCAGCAACTCTGTGATCACAGCCACAAGCAGTGCAGAGGCAATACTCTACAGTGCTATAATAGAGCATCCCGAAGAGGTCTGGCAGTGCGCCGCCGATGTCTTACCATCTCAGACGTGCGCGTGAAAGCTTCCCGTCCGTGCGGCACAATCGAAGTGAATGGTCCGCCGGCTCTCGCGCATGCGTCCGCCAACGCCTTGGTTTGTAGCGTGCCGGACAGGATGGCTGGCGATGCGATGAAGAAGCTCGTCCTTGTCTCGCCGGTGACAGCGCTGCTCTCACGCTCCGGCAGGCACTCTTGGGTCATGCTACGGACGACAATGGTACAGAGGGAGACGGTGAAGTGCAGCAGAGTCATGGATTCTGGGGTTAATCTCGATAATCCCTGCTCATCAATCAAGGTTATCGTTCGATGGAGTGACAGCCGAGATTGCAAGCTTCACCACATCCCGTCGCCACCGCTGCCGTCTGCAACAGATTGATGGTGGGCGTGCGAAGAGCGCTCGTGGAGAGTGCACGACGAGCAAAATGCCCATGGCCGCTGCGAAACCGTCGCGGCGAGGCGTCGTTCTGGAAGATATTGCATCTTCGACGGGCGAGTCTTGTGGCACAGCCGGCAGCACGCTAAGAATAACGACGTTGCGGCATGTGAATGGCCGGCTGCACTCCGCGCACATCTGGTGCTTCGCGCTGCACCGCGCTATCACCATCCATGTCTCGCTGGCGCCTGCTACTGCGACCGCTGCAGACTGCACTGCTGCTTTTTTGCTGCTGCTGGGGCCCCGAACTTCCCAATCCAAGCAAGCTCCGCGCACTGAGAATCTTAGCTTTTGGCAGAAGAGCTCGGGGCAGGCACTGCATCGTCCTCGTCCCTGCACTCTGAAACACCTTCAACCTTGCCCTGTTCCTCTCCCCTTCTCGACTCTGCTCTGCTGCTTACCCTCCACCACCCTTCAACGCCGTCGTTCCCTTGACCTCCACCCTGCACCATCGCACCGAACTGCAGGTCCCATCCTTCCACGACCCAGCGCATTGGGACTCCGCCATCTCCTGTTCCTGAACTGCGCGCGTGTATTTGAGACGATTCTCCGTGCTCCGCTCACACAGCAGTCTGCCACCCAGGAAATCTTCTCGTGGGAAATTCCCTGCTCGGATCGTTCAACTCCAACATCCGATCAACATCACCTCTCCTGATTACACCACGCTGCCGACGCCGACCTCACCAGGCGCGCCATACATAATCCTCACCCAGAAATCGCGCCGCTGATCGACCTCCCTCACAATGCCTTCCTCTACCACCTTTGGAGCGACTTTTGTCCCCACCGACGACCACCAACGAGCTACACCACTGCTCAACGAGCCCTTAACCGACTCGCCTGCCATGACACCCGTACCCTCTCACGATTCGCTCGCACAACAGTACAGCCAAAATGTGCCCGTCCAGTCGCCGTTCTACACGCACCCACCTGCCTCACACGAAGTAATTCCCTCAGAGAAGAAGACACATCTCAATGTCTATGAGAAGGACCTTGAAGCCGGCAACGACACGCCTCTCACCCCTTCCACAGACGAGGAACACCCCTTTTCGAAGCGCATTGGAGTGGAGCAGAATACAGAGGATACCATGTGGCCCAGCAAGCAAACGCTGAAGCAGAAATACATGGCAGAGAAGCAGCAGCGGAGACAACAGAAGGGCATCAAGGTACTCGTCCCTGTACGAGAGAGATGGGCTGCATTGAGCAAGCGTAACAAGTTGATCGCGAAGCTCCTGCTGGGCTTGTTCATCATCGGCGTAGCAGTGGGGTTGGGCGTGGGAATCAGCAAAGCAGTACAAGGATCGTACTATGTTAAGGATGGTGCAAGCAAGCCCATCGACCGATGACGGGTGAGTTCAGCGTTCCACGAACGATGGTATGCAATTGACTGAGACAACGCAGCTCTCATGAACAACACACGACGATGAAGTCAGCGACTATACTTTTGAACATAACCCCCTGCATCTATCTGTATGAATTCATTGGCGAGGAGTTCCGGCGTAGCGACAACACGATGGACTGGTAGCGAACGACTACGCATGTCAAGGAACGGCGCAAGACCACATATTGTAGAAGCGGCATTTTTATTTTGTACGGACCCGGGGCATTTCTCTTTTAGTGCTGGAAAGAAGACGAAGATGGATACACTGCAAGTCGATTTTCCCACCGACTTTGCGATACAATGACCTGCACAAACAAACGTTTCTCACGCTCCCGGGAAGGTCGAGTGTGATTAACACGGCCGAGATAGAGACTGCGAAATTCAAACGAATGGATTGGTTTCTGAAGCCGCTTTTCTTGCGTGGATTCCTTTTCTTTGCTGCGTGTGCATGCCGGGATGTGAAGGAGAGGCGGAAATGTCATTGTTCCGACGAGCCGTTTCTTTCCCCTTAACGGGCGGTAACTCAAACATGACAAGGGAATTGGATGACTGACTCTTGGACAGGTGCCAGCGGAGCTGCGCTCCGTGCTGATGTCAACCCTTCTGATAAGGTCACGCTCATGGGACTTTTCGCAGGAGATCTTTATTGATGCCGCACGTTCATTCTGCGTCTGCTCGGGACGTGAAGCTGAAGCGCTGCAGTATTTGCATAATTAGAGACGGGTTTCCCATCGTATCACGAGTTGACCGAATGAGAGGAAATGCTGGATTCAGATGTGGGAAAGGAGATTGTTCCTGGCCTTATGAAGTTGGAATGAATACTCTGATCTCTCCGTGTATTCGAATTCCAGACCCATCAGACGCGGGTTAGGGTTACTTTGCGGAGGACTGGAAAGTTAGCAGTAGTGAGTGTTTGGAGTGGTCGCGAGATGGTAGAAATGGAAGGAGAATTGGGGAAATTTGGTCAACTTTTCGATGTCGTTATGTTCGTGTGTCTCGTCTCATGACACATGCTATCTGTCTTCGGCCTCAGTCGTTGCTGTGAGCTCAGACTTGCTTGCGCTGAGTTACGCGCTTCGAAATGCTTACTTTGCATGTGTAGGCTGAGTCTCATCTCAGCATCATGTCTCGCTGCGTTGAAATCGGTGCAATCTGCATTCTATGCACTCAAGTGCAACCGTGTCCGTTGCGGCTGCTTCTTCACCGTGATCGTTGATCTTCGTTTAGTCTTTCGGCTCATGGGCATACTGCTGCTCCCAAGAGTAACACTCCTTGAGCAACTTCTCGATGTCGCTCTCTCGCCTCACCAATGCCGTCTTGCCCGCTTCGCCACTCTCGTAAGCGGGAAGATCTGCGAGAACTTCCTCAACAGTATCCTCTAGAAGCTCAGGAGTGACCATCTCGACATCGTTCTTCTCCAAGTCCGGAACGGTGTAGAAAGTATCGAACGCCTCCAAAACACCATCGTACACATCGCTGCACGCAATGTGGAAGCTTGTTGACGAACTTATTGCCTTCGTCTTCGAGGTCTTTCTGGATCGCTTCGACGACTTCGCGATAGACGGATTCTTTGCCTGTCCCTAGCTTCCGACGAAGGACGTTCTGTTGCTTCTTGTAGACTTGAGCCGCTGGCGTGTCACCTTTGACTTTCTTCATCCGACCGCGAGCACCGGGGACCATGGTGTCTGGCAACTTCTTGTAGTTCTTCTTGTCAAATGTATTAGCCTTCTCGTATGCCTTTCTCATTGACCGACCCGACGTAGGTGTCGTCTTTGGCGCCCGCTGCTCCACCGACGAGTGCTCTGTCCTTGATCTTGTCGACTTTGTCGCCAAAGCGTTGGAAAAGGAGTTCTAAGCGCTCGCGAAACTCAAGCTTGCGCTGCTTCAATTCTCGGTAGAAAACCCTTGCCGTGGGGATCTCGTGGAGTTGCAACTCAGTCAGTTTAGCCTCGAGAAGGCCAAAGAGGTAACTAGTGGGTCATGTCCTCTGGGCCCGCCTCGCTAAAGCGGCTGACCAGGTTTGCTCCCATATTATCTTTGGCTTCCCGAATCGTAAGCATAAGTCGAATGAAGCGGTCCGCAGCACCATTTTGGCCTACATCGCCGGCCATCAAGTCTTGAATCTCCAAATTCCACTTGCGGTCACGATGCTCCCCATACTTCCGGCACAGTACATTGAAGGTCGGAGATCGAGCAGCCTTCGTCCAACAGCCAACCAGCGCATTTGCCACCTTGGGCCAAGTTTTGTCGGCTGCATGTGCGAACGGCTCGGATATGTTCGTGAGAATCCAGCTGGCGACTTCGTCCTTTGCACCTTGCACAATGCCCTCCTGGAACGTGGCAAGAATGTTCTCCAATGAGTTCTTGAACTCATGGTACCGCTCAATGGGAGTCTTGTTCAGTACGTGCTTGATGATGGTAAGCTGGCGAGGTAGGTCTGTGCAACAGAGTCGACGAAGCTGTTCCATGCGCTTGCTTGCGACAGATCGATAGAGCAAACGAAAGAGCTTTGGAACTCCAGTTGCTTCGTAGTCCAGCTTGCTCCACTCGCCTCTGAGATGCCTGCCGTACTCTTTGGCGGAGATGAAAGCTATTTGGAGGTCGCCTGCTCCAGAGCTGGTACGCGCCAGTTTGTCGTACTGCGCAGATATCTCTTTTTCCAGCTTTCGGTTCCTAATCTCGACTTTGAGTTGATGGAATCTCGCCTCGGCCGCGGGTAACTCGATGGCTTTGAGGTGCTCAATTCGCTCAGAGACGGCGCTCTCTTGCGCGTGATCCCTCTCGACCTTGAGAGCTTCCTTTTCGGGCTGCTGCGTCTCTAATATCAGCGTTCAAGCCCCGCACAGCGGCCTCTGCTGCGTCCAGCTCCTCGCGCACCTCTTCCGACAGAGCATCCTTCTCTCTCTGGTTCAGGTCGTTCTTGTCGTCGATCTTTGTCACAACAAACATGGTCGGCTTCTTTGATCGAATGGCTTCGCGGATGTATCCATCAATCTCCTTGGTGATCGGTCTTCCCGCTGGCGCCATAATGATGTAGCGATCAGCGCTCTCGACGTATCTCTCGATCATTTCTGCCATCACGAGGTCAGGATCATTCCGTCCTGGCACATCAGCAAAGATGAGTCCCTCGGAGCCCATATCGTTGTCGAAATGGAGCTGGGCCTTCTTCAAATGGCACGAACGCTGCCAGCAACTGGAATTGAGATCATCCTTCGAACTCGGAGGACAGTAGTTTTCGAGCATCTTGATGACCTCTTGCGTGCTGTTGGCGGGGTATGAGTTGCTAGTGTCAGAGATGCCGTGGTCTCTACGCAAAGTCATGATTCGATCAAGTAAGAGGTTGACAATGGCGTCAAGATCGGTATGATCGCTTTGCTGCGCGAGGAGCCATTCCGTCAGGGTCTTGTAGTTGCTGAAGTGAGGGTGATTCTCTTCGTGCAGCAATGGGAGCAGGTGGCACAATGCCGCATCGCATTCGTACTGGCGCTCCGCGGCGCTGGTGTCGCCAGAATCTTGATCTTCGTCTTCGTCGGCGGACCCATTGCCTTGGTCAGGGGACACATCCTGGACTTTGTCGCCATTGAGATACGCGTAGATGGCCAAACAGGATGTCGTGACGGGATCTCTGAACTCGTTCCTCGTCTTCCACACGATGGTAACTTCGAAGGCAGTGGTTTGTGCCATCCTCCGCCCATGACCTTCGATGGGAAAATGTGTGCCACGGCCGGTGTCCGACTGTAGACTTATTAGCTCGGCTGCCAATACGACATTATTGCACATACCTTGATCGCAATTCCGTCCCGCCCCACCAACGCCTCGTATGCTTCGGACTTGCCAATCCCCATATCCCCGAGGAGAGCTACAATCTCATTCTCCTTGAGGTGGGCAAGTTGCTTCACCAATCTGGCCAATCTCCCAATATAAGCTCTGACAATGTCATCCACATATCCTGCGTTTTTCAGCTTCTCATGGGCCAGAGCAACTTGAGTAACGATCTTCTCAATAGCAATCTCGATGTTTCGAAAGCTAGGGTGAAATGCAGGATGATGCGGTTTATTCTGTGGCCAGCACGGATCATGAGCAGGAATCGCTGCATTGATCATGACTGTTGGGACTGCTCCCTCCGAAGCGGCCGAAAGAAGTTGGGCCTGGAAATCCTGGGGGAAAGCATTGGCAGAGACCTGTGGACCGAGAGCGACTCGCGGTGCAGAGGGAGCAAACTTCGGCTTCGCATCCTCCGCGAACTGCTCAGTCTTTGACTCAGCCGGAGCGAGTCGAAGGGTTGTGCCAGAAGTCGCACTTGCTTGAGTGCTCACAGGTTCCGATTTGAGGCGCTTGGAAGCTGTTCTCGAGTTAGTACATTTCAGCTGTATCGTTTTGATTTGCGCCAAATGCTCACCGCTCTCTGGGTCTAGCGAATCGGATCTCTCGTGCTTCGTGCCTTGGGGCACAAAAAGAGTAGGCGGGCTCGCTTCGCGCGCGAATGCTGCTAGAGCCGATGAATGCAGAGCATTCGAGACCTGGGTTTGCTCATGTAGCAATGGTGCCGGCATTTGAACATCAGTAGCGCTCTGGAACGCATTGTTTGCCATTGGGGTGGAGAATTGCGGGCCCGTTGGCAATCCATGAAGTACAGGAGCAGCCTGCTCTTGAACTGCCGGCGCCATTGGCGGAGGATCAGCCATGATGGCAACGGGAGCGTAAGCCGTCGTCAATCCAGCTGTTGTAGAGCCGGCAGTGCCAGTAAACGTGCCTTGAACAGGCCCGCCTTGCGCCATCGGCTGTTGATCTCCAGACGTTGGCGGCGGAGCAGGAGCAGCTCCAACACTACCAGCACTGTTGTTGTTCGTCTGCTCAGTGGTCATGACAGGCGGCATCGTCTCCTGACCACCAGCAGACATTTGTGCCGCAGGTGGATTGCTGATGGCCGTGACTGACGGCGAAGACTGCTGCTCGTCAAGGGGCAACGGCAGCTTCTCTGCCATCTCTTGCGAAGCCGCGCGAATCTGAGCGGCGAGACTGGTACCGGAGAGGTGCGCTAAAAACGGAGATGGTGCAGAAGCAAAAGACAGCGCGGAGGCGGAAGATGTAGCCAAAGTGCAGAATTTTGTGAGATGCGAAGGATGTTGTGAGAATGGTCGCCAAGAGCGACGCGCGATGTGGTGCGAGGCGGTGTGATGTAGAAGAAAGGAGGTGTTAGTCAAGAAGGTAACCAGGTAGGCAAGCGATGTGGAAAGAAAGATGTGTGAGAAGTTTGGACGTGGAGGGGGAGGTGGAAGTCAAGGTGTTGGTGGTAGGTTGTGTGAATGATCACAAGCAGGAAAAGTGGGTCCAGCGGCCAGGCGACAGCGTTGAAGTGAGCGAAGTGAGATGGAGGAATAGATGCGAAAGCATGTGAGAGTTGAGGTCGCAGCGAGCAAACGCGATAAGTTCCAAGCGAAGGTTGCAATCGCTTCATTGCGGCATGGCAGCACAATTTTGTCCGAGGGCTAGAGACAGAAGCACAGATCTTCCGCTGCATTCAGAGAAAGCTGTACCTGCGGTCATGTCTCAGGACAGTGTCGAAGACGCATTTCCTGGCCGTGGCCAGCCTTGCGAGCTAGGAGGGCTCTATTCTGCCAGAGCAAGGCGTGGAATCTGACGAAAATCGACGCGATGCACGAAGCTTGCCGTCGAAGCATCGTTCGACGATCTCCCATGCAGGGGGCCTTCCAATGGAAAGCGAAGCGAAATTGACGAAGCAACCCGCGTCCTCTGCGACAGCACATCTCGAGCACTCCTCCACTGTCTCTGCCCTGTGCAGTGTTGCTGAGGCAATCCGTGTCGAGAAGCAAAGCAGCAGTGGAAGCAAGTGGGACGAGAGAGAGGGTTGGAGAGAGCATAAACTGAAGATGTTTCCGGGGTTCCGAGTTTGCTGTATGCAAGTGAGGTGTAACGATGCCTTGCCGCTCGATTCACAGCTCGGGAGGGAGAACCTTTCGACACAAAATCGAAATCTGAGAGAAGAATGATGAGCCAAAAGAACAAATTGACCACACTACGGACCTACTCAATCACTTCCCAGCCCAAAGTACTTCTTGAACCGATCACTATCATGCAGTCCAGCTTCCTGAATGACCTCGTGACAAGCCATGAGAAGTCGCGGAAATCGATTGCACCAGTAACTCAAATATCCGCCATCCAAGGGACCTATGCGCTTCTTGACATCCTCTGGCATGTCCTCATAGTGGTTCTTCTTGTTCCGCAGTGCACGAAGGAGATCCAAGAATCGACTGCCGGTGTATTTGCGTTGCTTGCCCAGCGTCTGCACGAAGAAGCCGTCGAGCTTTGCCAAGAAGTCCATCTGCCTGCCAATGACTTCCTCAGCCTTGCTCTCCAGCAAGCGCAGGTTGTAGGAATCCCCAGCGTAGTTGTCTTCCCATGTTCCCCGCTCTTCACGTTCGAAGTGATCAGAGCAGTCGCACAAGAACGCCAGCCTTCGCTCAGGTGACCAAAAGTAAGGATGGTTCAAGACTTCTTGAGCAGATGGTCGCTTCTCGGGTTGGGGTGACAACATGCTCGTGATCAATTGGAATGGCTCGTAAGCGTCCGACCAGCGTTCCAAAGGCTCCATGTTCTTTTTGTCACACTTAATATTCTTCTCACGCAGACCTTGCCAACCCGTCTCGTCCTCGTAAGGATGCACGCCGTCAGTCAGGACCCAGAAGAAGAGGCAACCAAGGGAAAAGATGTCGGCGGCACGCTTCACACTGCTGACACCAGGAACATTCGCACTTGGGTTGGCACTATCACTGCCAGACGCTCCTCTGCTGTGTGTGCTGTCCGTCTTCTCGCCAGGCTGTGTGATGAGCTCTGGAGCCTTCCAGCCTGATGTTCCGACGTTGCCCGTAGGATCAATGAGCGTGCTCATGTTTTCTGGCAAGTTCTTACCAAGACCAAAATCTGAGATAACCAAGCGAGTTGTACCCGGTGGCTGAGTCTTCTTCGGGTACGCAACGAGAATGTTCTGGGGCTTGATGTCGCGATGTATGATGCGGAGCTTGTGTAGATGATGCAGGCCAGCTGCGAGCTGTTGCAGTGTCCTGTTCATGTCTTGCTGAATCGCGAGCTTGAGCTTCCGCCGTTCTGCTCGCAACTCTTCTGTCTTGGCTTTCTCTGGCTCCCACACATCGAATAAGCTTGCCTGGCATAATTCAACAGCAATATATAGGAAATGGTCGTCTCTTTGCCGGCAAAAGTAACGCACCACGTTGGGATGATCGTCACTCTGCTGCAGGAAGTTGACTTCAGACGCAGCGAGCTCGTAGTACTGAGACAGCATGCGCTTGACGGCGACATCGCGGTTCTCCCAAGAACCTTGATAGACGATGGTACCTCCACTGCCTCGGCCAATCTCCTTGTCGGTGTAAATGGTCAGGTTGTTGATACTCATCGGGCCTGACATGTCTGCACTTTCAGACTTGGCAACGCTAACGATCTTGACAGCTGCAGGACTCTGCAAAGGCGAGTCCGTTCTCTTGGCTTCTCGAGCTGCCTCTCGGGCTTGTTCTTTCTCCTTTTGTTTGCGGCCACCTCGTCTGCCACGTGTGGCCTTCTTCTTCTGAGGCTTGGTCTCGCCTTCTTTTTCCTCACTCTCCTTGCCCTCCTCATCAGCGTCTGCTTCGTTCGATTCTGCCCTCTCGAGCGTCTCCGGTTTCTCGGTAGGCAAGTCAAAGTGCACCTTGGCAGTCACTGGTTCCTTTTCGGCATTCGGTGGCTGAGCGAAAGCCATTTCTTCTGCAGGCTCGTTCTCACGTATGGCTGGTTGCTCCTCAGGTGGCACAGTGAGAGCGTCGGCGACCGGCATCTGCATGGTCGGCTTCTGTGGGAGTAACAATGTTCGGGTCTCTGGCCATTTGTACAGAGCAACACCGCCAGTCGTGCAGATGGCAATAACGAAGCCAAGCACTAGGCCAGTGAGCAAGGTCAGATCGAACGAGCTCTTCTTGGGCGACGACAACGGCGTGTCCATTGCTCCCGGCGAGGCTGCTCTGGATTCGACTGCTGGTGCAGCATCAATCAATGGCACCTGGTTTCCGTCGAGCAGCTGTCCACCCGAGTATCCTTCCTGCGGGAGGTTGTACACGCCGGCGAAATCTTCTTTCCTCCAGCGTCCCTCGTATTCAATGCTGGGTACCACGGGTGCTCGGTATGTGACAGATGGGTACTGCTTTTCGGAAAGGGCGAACCAACTGCCAGAACGAGTGCGGTTGACATAGACCGGATCGTAATCCTCTTCGTCCTCCAGTCCGGCAAACGCGTTGGCAGCCGGCGGTATTGGCTGTGGTAGCACAGCTAGTGAAGCATCGCCCGAGGGATCTGATTTCGGTCGGATGATGTCGAAAACTCTGACCACTGGTGAAGCGAAGACCTGAGTAAAGTCCGGCTTTCTGTATGGATTGGCAGAGCTCGTGTCGATGCCGTTGATGCGTCCATTCCACGAGGAGTAGACATATTTCTCGTCCATCGTCTTGTCGTACGTGTTGCGTAGGTCGTTATCACGGGTGTTGCCTGTCCACTCGAAGTATTTGATAGTTTCGACAGGCTCTCCCGTGGCTCTATTCTGGATGCCAATCGTGTACTCGGTGCGTCCAAGCACAATGGTTCCCTGTGTCTCACACTCGCTATCACCAAGGACGTCGTCCAGTGGGCTAACTCTGCGGCAACTCTGATCCTTGTTCACGAATGAGCCTCCCGGTTGAAAGGTCTTGAGCACGTTGCCGGTTCGTGCGTCGATGTGGTATAGGGTATTCTTCTTCTCGGCAGTATATGTGACGCCGAGATGTCCCGTCTCCTCGAAGGGCGCGGCTTCAGAAAGCTCCTTCACGGTATACGGAAGCCTCTGCAGCCCGTAATGCGGTTGCAGAACATACAGAGCGCCATCCTGGCTCGGCTCAATGACGAATCGAGGTTCGACGACCTCTTGTCCAAGAGCGTTGTACGTCTTGTTGTGAGGGTGCCTGATGACTTGCACCATCTCTCCGTCAGCTTCCAGCTGCCATCGTGGGGCACCGGTGCCGCGGTCGCGTGCGTAGAGCTTCCCATCCACAGTCGCCAGGAGCATGAGATCCTCGACTTGCCAATCCTGCAGTGATCGCGCCGGTTGTCGCGAGGCCAGACCGGCGCTGGAGGCAGCCGTCGACCATTGTGCAGGAGGTGCTCGAACAGCCGCGTCGTGGTTCGATTCGGCTGGAGACACAGTCGCAAGGGCGCGCTGGTGGACCTGGGAGATCCGCGCTTTCTTGTGTTTTTCGTTGTGGGTGTTGTCGTCGTCGTCGTCGGCGTCGACGTTGGTGTTCTTCTGGGCTTTGTGCTTCACCGAGACCTCTTGGTGCAGCTGCCTGCCGACAGTGTGCTGCCAGTGCTCGTCCACGGCGGGAGCGGCATCGGCGATGTCGCCATCCTGGAGGGCGGCGGCGGAGTGGTGAGAGGAGTGGTAGTGTTCGGGCTGCTTCTGCAGGGCAGCCGCTACGGGGAGGAGGAGCGACAGGAAAAGCAAATGGCGGACTCGCACTTGGGCGTGCGAACCGGGTGGGTGTCCAGACACCATGTTGCCATGAACAGGTTCATCGGCAACAATGGCGGGAACGGCGTCGCTCGCGGTAGTGGGAGGTCCGGTGTGCGAGAGGAGGGCGGTGGGTGGGATGAGGTGAGAAAGTGTTGGAAGACGAGAGGTTGAAAGAGTGGCGGGCGGCAGGGCTGGAGGGCGCAAGGAAGGGCTGTCACAGGTCTCGAATTCGGGTCAGAATGCTTGCGACACCACCCAAAGTATTACCCGCCAAGCGCACACGCACTTTCTCCTACATGCCTCGACCCGCGCTTTTCGATGTGCAGTGACAATAAGCTGCGCATGCTGCCGCCAGATCCCTTCCTCAAGCGACCGCCCCTCCTCCTGACTTGCCGCCGATGAGCAGCGGTCGGGTGGTGCTGGTCACAGCTGTGTGTCTCCTGGCGCCACGGCCTTGCGCACTAGTTAGCGCCCGCCATTGGGGAACACACCACCGCTCCCCTCCATATCCCTTGTGTGAAGAAAGCACACGCAAAAATGCCGTGCCGATGCTCTCCCACCTCTTCCTTCACACCTCCTGGAGCGGCGGATCAGCGCCCCGCCGCGTGTGCCGGTGAGCGTTGTGCCGCTCGAAACCCGCACATTGGCCCAGAGTTCACCGCACCCTGGCTTCTGATCAGGCTTCACATATGCCAGAGCTCCATGGTACGGCACAGCAGTCCTGCTTCCTGCTGTATCAGAGTCTGGTTGACAGTCCAGACCTCCTGTCACCGCACATCCGATCGTCGTGCCCCACATCGCTCACGACACATCAAAAAGGCGCGAATTGGGCGATTGGGTGCGCTGAAAATGGTCACCACCACATCGGCAGTCGTCCATAGTCTGCTCACAGCCTTGCGTAGTCACGCAAAACTAGTCGACTACTCAATGCTTGACTCTCGACGGCACTTCTTCGTGATGCTCCATTCCCAGCCAGCTCGAACGACACCCGGGATTCATCCGGTAGATCGTGGAGAGAGCTCCAAAACGTCGCACCGACGGGCCCGTCATCGCGTGGCCTTTTGCTGCTTTGCCTTTCGGTCACCGTTTCGCATCCATCGCTCCTGTCACCACTTGCAATCGTCTCGTCAAGACGGGTCGACGGCGGGCGGGATGAAGACGCCAACATTCGATCCCGCCGCAGTGTAAAACTGAGCACGATCCATCAATGTCCTTCCCTCTACGCGCTTGGCTTTTCTTAGCAACCCACTTCTCGTAACGATCCAATGTCTAAACCGAGCAGACCAGCTGCAGACATCATGTCAAAACACTGCGAGAAGCTTCAATGTCCATGCCGAACAGCTTCTGGCTGACACTTATCCAACTTTGCGTGCTTGCAGGCCTAGTACGCCTGGCATCGAGTCATGTTGAGTCAAACACATGCCGAGAATCATCCTCGATATACTACACTCCAGCATGTCCAGCGGATGGACAAAGACACGAGATCGCACGTGAGCAGCTGCTGAAGTCCATTGATCGCAACATCGGAAAATGGAACAAGAAGCATCCGCGATGGCAGGTCCTGGAGGCACTTGACGGTTATGACAAGTATGAGAAGATTGTTGGTGCAGAAATCGACAGATTTGAGCGTCTGTACAAGCATGTCCCTAAGAAACACAAAAAGGTTATACGTCTTCCTCGTTCAATCTGCCGACGTCCACACTCACAGCTGGTTTCAGATCCTCGATTCCGTGGTCAACTATCAAGCCAACTTCGCACAAGCTCGTACACTCCTCAAAACCAACGCCGAATTCTGCAAGAAAGTTTTACAGCACTCCCTCTCGTACTACAACATCTCTCGACATGAGCTCGCGACTTTCATTCACGACACCGATGATGGGAAAGCCAAGTCCGGAATCCGAACAACAGTCTCCCAATCTCTCAAGCACTCCGTACGAGACTGGTCGCCTGAAGGACAAGCCGAACGCGAAGCGACATTTCTATACATACTCGATGCACTGACATCACATCTCCCTCCAATCTCGTCAGATGAAAATGTCAAATACCATGTCCTCGTCCCTGGAGCCGGATTAGGCCGTCTCGCACACGAAATCAGCCTCCTCGGAGACTACATGTCTGTCACATCCAACGAACGGTCTTCGAGCATGAACATGGCCTATCGCTATCTCAGATCCCTGCCAGCAAGCCACGGCCCCATCACTCTTCACCCTTTCCTTGAGAATTGGTCCCACGCAGAAAGAAGAGAGGAACTTACGCGTCCGGTTTTGATACATCCTCCTATAATCCCGACTGAGACATTGCTGGTTGAAGGAGACTTCACCACGAAATTTGTACACCAGAATGGACAGTACGATGCTGTTGCAACACTCTTCTTTATCGACACTGCTCGGAATCTCATCGCATATCTCGAGACTATTCACTCTCTACTCAAACCAGGCGGCATATGGGTCAATGTTGGGCCACTGCTATATGGTACTGCACCATTGGTGCAATTGAGTTTGGAGGAGGTAGTACTCGTGGCGGAGAGTATGGGATTTGAGTTCGAGATACGAGAGAGTATTGAGGGGAGAAGCGCACTAGATGGGAAAGTGGAAGAGAGAGATGTTTTGTATAATTTCAATCAGAGTACCTTGTATCGGCATGGATATATTGCTGCTTGTTGGGTGGCGAGAAAGAAGAAGATAGAGCACGAGGAGGTCGGAGGGAAGAGGAAAATTGTTGGAAGTGGTGTGTTTGACAAGTTGAAGGAGAAGTGGTTGTAGAGTGGCGTTGAGGAAGGTCGATGTAAACCGCTCTACCTTACTACAATGAGTGCTGTGACCGCGCGAAGTGCGGCGTCGATGACCAATTCTTCCTCATCGTCTTGCGCTCAGCTCCTTCAACCCTTCATTCCAACTTCCTTCATGAACTCCCCCATATCCTTCTCTCTTCTCAAACTCTCCAATTGACTCTCCCTCGGCACGACAACCCCATACAGTCCCAAGTAACAATTCCTGATATTCACGTTCTGGTACCCATCTCCGATCAACTGTTCGAAGATTTCCGAGAATGTCCAATCATCTGCCCTATCCTGTTCACCAAAAGGCGTGATGCAGTCAGAAAGTCGCCCGTGCCATTCCCTCAACGAACAAGTTCCCCGCTTCTGGAAGAGCACATCCAAGACATGCTTGACAGTCAGACTGGACTTATCGTCAAGAACGCTGCTGACTTCGCCAATTAGAATCTCATTCCGCTCAACATGGTAGGCTGACCAGCCGATTGTCATCAATGCATTGTAACAGGGAGGGTTAGTGATGAGAGCTTTGGCGTATCGCTCAGTGTGCGTCGTTCCTTGCGATAAGAGATCCTTGAGATCGAGGTTCAGTCTCACTTTCATTGTGTCTCCAATTGCGAAATGCCAGTCTGCACGATCTCCGGAGTCTTTGTAGAATAAACGGTGCAGAAGTGCGGGTCGAAGAACGATCATGCCATCGCTGTTGGGGACTTGTGGTGGCACTTGTCCAGATGGGTTGCTTCTGGTGACGATCATGTTCGAACTCGTTGGAGCAAGGCGGAAGACAGGTGGAATATGGTTTGGGGTTGGGTAGGGGCCGTAGGGAATGCACCAGAGTCTGTCAAGAAGGATGCTCTCGCGGAGTGTGGGAGATGTTGAGATGAGTTCGTTCCATTGCTGGCAGACGAGACGGGATCTGGGTATCATGTCGCCTGGGAGGTGTGAGAGGATGCACTCGAGAAGCTCGGCGGTTTGGAGGACTGCTGTCTCCGCAGGAGAGACGACTCGAGGATTGATGTCGCTCTTGCGTGCTCCTCGAGTGCCTCGAGAGTGGATCTGGCTTCGAGTCAGCATAAGTAATCCGGTGAACACAATCAGCACTTACCTTGGCAATGAACGCGAGCATTCGAGCGCGCTTATTTGAAAACATCTTGCCGGCCATGGTGTTGTTCTGCAGTGTTGGGGATGATTTGGTGGTCAGGATGCTTTTCAGGTGAGGATAGCCAGGTATGTTTCCAGGTGAAGATATGAGTGCGGTGCTTGCTAGAGGCTGGACCGTTCACTCCGGTCTACCGCCATTCACTCGCTCACCGCATGGGACTTGACGCTTCGCGTCGCGTTACTCTTTCAACCAAAGCTCCCAATCAAAGAACAGGTCCTCTGGCATCATGTCCACAGCCAGGCCATCCTCATCACTTCTACGAGAAGACTCTGAGTCTGGTCCATTCCTCCTCATCGGTCTCTCAACCAATGCACTTCCCAGAGTGTCCCATCTTCTCCACTGGGCCAGCAACTTCATCAACGATTCAAGTAACCTCGCAGTCCCAGCCCACAAGCATCCTTCTCTTGCAGCGCGCAGACTGTTCGACCCAGGTCGTTCTCGCTGGCTTATGTTCCTCATCAAACTCGCACAATTCTGTATCAACATCGATTGTACTGCAGCCCGATCATGCAAGCCGCCCCAACCTTTCATTCGCGCAGCGTTCTCTTCCATGATATCCTTGCAAGTAAACAAGATGTGACAGATACTGTCATGCTGAGATGGTACGAACGGCACGCCATCGATGGACAGGTCGGCAGTCCCCACGAAGTTAACGAGGAGCATTTCGAGGTCTTGCATACGGTATTCGCCGTGAGTGATAAGGAACATAGTTCGCGAGTCACCCACTTGCTGCTCTCGAGTCTTGCCGGCAAGCCGGTGGATAATCTGGTCGGACGTTTCGAGGGCATGCTGAGTGGTGATGGCAGGAGGATCAGAAGTAGTTGCATCGTTGGTCGGCGTGTGCGAGCCGTCCATAACAACAAAGAACATCGCAGCACCAGCTATCGAACAGTAGGAGCGATGCAAGCGAGCGTTTATCAACTGTAGGGTCGCGAGGCTTAGTTCAGTGTTGCTTTCTCGGGAGCCTCGAACAGTGTTTTGCAATTGTTCTCTTTCCTCTTCACATGCGTGTCGATGCGTGAGTATAGTCTCCTCCAGGCTAGTCAACGTGCGCGGGTCCATTCTCATTCTGAGTAGAGCGCTCAGCTCTCGCGCCCGGATCCTCGCGATACAAACTGCATGGTATGTTGCAAGAGGTACTGAGTCCGAAGCCAGCAGTAAGCTGGCATAGCTTACGACTCTTGCTGCTTTGTTCATAGCCAAAGCGTCTCTCGTATCTCCAGCCAGGGTGTCAGTGCACTGAGCGAGGCACACTCTGAACCAGAGTAGGAGGTCATTGAGCTGCTCTGCACCGATGGTGGGCACGCCTTCCCGGAGCAACGACTGTCTATAGTCTGCCATAGGCTCCAGATGCAATTTCCTGGCTATCTCGTAGATCATGAGTCGCAGCGTTGGATTCGAAACACTCTTTGTGATAGTAGTCCGATCGATGGCAATAAGACTAGGCTGATATTCTAGAATCAATTGGAGGGCCAAGATAGCGCTTTTGCTCGACGGCAAGTCGAACATCAGGCGCTGATACTCTCGAAACGCAATCTGACGCAGCAGCGTTTGCAGTTGTCGTTCTTCTGATGTTTCCACCGGTTTCGCATCAATGGCCAGAGATGCGAGCACAGTAAGCAGCAACGTGCTTGCATTGGGTTCTTGAGCACTCGAGGTGTTCTTTGAGATATCGGTATAAAGGTCGGACATTGCTGGTATATCAGGGAAGTATAACCGATGCCACACAAGCCTGGCAAAAATCAGACGGAGAGTGCTGACAGATCCGTGCTGTATCTCACAGTTTGTCCAGATTTGCAACCGCTTCTGAACTTAATAGATCTAGCAGACAATAGTCTCTTGATGGTGAAGCACGAGAGAAGTCTGCGCCAAAGTGAACATCTCTGGCCAGCAGTGTAGAAAGAAGATGCGCTGAATCGAACGTGGCGCGAGCTTTGTCCATAGGCGTTGGCAGTCGTTTCGTCTTCGTAATAGTCCCGCTATTCACATCCGTCGACTTAGGCTTGACAAGCAAGAAGTCGTCGATCTCAGCGTCTTCTCCATCATGACGACCATCGGTATCAATCAGCGATCCATCGGTAGGAGGTGTGATGCTGTGTCGCAATGGGGTCTTCATCGTGCCTGTCCGACCACCAGTAGATGAGGGTCGTCCCAGAGTCGTGTAATTAACAACGCAGTCCAGACCCCTCACCTTGCATCGCTCACATGCCAAACCTGCTGGTTGAGGTTGTCCATTAGGAGGGCCAATATCAGGTGGAAGAGAGCATTTGATCTTGCGTGCCCGACAATGCTGGCAGATGTATCTCGCATAAGCCCCACGAGCCCGTTGCGGCGGCATACCTGCGGTCCCAGATGACACATTTGCTACACGTCTGGCAGCGGGCGCAAGCGCAACTTATGTGGGAGCGTGAGAGTGAGCTGAGGTTGTGCGCGCAACGGCGTTCCGCAGTTCCGCACCACGCGAACGCGAGCTGCTCAGCTGGCCATCTTCAGAATCCTGCTGCACTTTGTCCAATCGACGGAGCTCGATGAGATGTTGCTTCCAATAACAAAGCCTCTTTGTCTGCTTGAAGAACTTCATTCATTAAGTGGTTACGATAATGACTCCTCGAAGGAGAGCACAATCATTGCCCTCTGAGCACTGCTATGAGCTCGGACCTGTTGCGTCTGACACGTCCTCGATCAGCAAAGATCATTTGCATCGACTGCATATCAGGCGAATGGTGGAACCATCGGAAGAAATAGTCAGGAATCCAGGCTCTGGCCTTTTTCTCAATGCGATTCGAGCTGCACGATTCGTCCAACTGCTTCTCGGACCAGCTCTTATTGCTGTCAACGCTATTCTGCTTGCACGATACAGAATTCTGCGTAATGACTGTTCGCCAGTAAACGCGGCCCTCGATTGTCAAATTTATCGCAAGGCTGTAGGCGCTTTTGGGTATTGCGTCTTTCCCGGAGGCCTGGGCATGTTGCAAGGCATCTGGGGTATGCGGGCGACCTTTGTAAATCCATTGCCATTACATACTGTCGTTGCTCTCGACAACTTCGTTGCTGGCTTCTTCATGGGCGGTGGATGCGTGAGTGGCGCCAAGAAAGCTCTTGAGCTGAACGTGGCTGACTATGTGTAGACGCTGGCTGCTCTGATCAATGGCTGGAGGTGCACAGACTTGTGCCCGGTCCTCTACGCAAGCATAGCGCTCTTCTTCTTCGGTGTCGTGCTTTCATACAGCATGATTCCAGCTTGGATCCATTTGAGACTCCATGTGAAGCGACACGAATAGTTCAAATCGCTTCAGCTGCGATGTTGGGGCGTTCTCCTGCGGTGACATGCTTTACCGCTTCAGTCTCATCGTACGTAGGCGGCAATTCCAGGCTCACGTTGGCTTCTTCATACACAGGCGGACAGTCTTGATATTCGTCCGGCTCCTGCGTTGACATGCTGCCACCGCCGGACTCTAGGTCCAGAGGAGGGATGGTCCTCGAGGACATCTGGTTTCCGGATCCATACTTGATGCACATCACAACCAACACCAGAATTGCCGTCGCCAGAATCCCAAGAGTTGCCCAGGCACCAATTCGAACTATCATGACGAAGACCTGATATGGCAGTCCCTGGTCGGAGAGGAAGACGTTCTTGCTGTTCGCCATTCCTGGAATCTGGTGTTTCTCGATACCGGCTGTTCAACTTGTCTGTGGGAGTTGTCAATCCGAGCGATGTGGAGGTAGTCGCAGTGCTAGCAGTCTCTTGCTGTTTGCTTTTGGGGCACATGCTGCCACCTGAAACGGAAGCTGCGCCGCATGTGCACTGCACTAGACACCAGCAAACAAAGGCTTTGTGTTGGTGTCTTTAAGCGCCCTTCACAGACAACCAACCGCTTCCGGCCGAGCAATGCAACAGCGCCGCACAACTGCAGCATAAGAGGTAACACGCGCATGCAAACGTCGGCGCCTGTGCCGTTTAAGCGCGTGCAATGCGCAACTCATCTACGTTAGTCCATAGGCGACACCGTAAAAATCGCATACCCAATCGAGCAGCAGCACTTCCGCTGCCAGTCCTCGAGATTCGGAGCAGATGCAAATTAAGCATACGACAGCGAAAACATTGGTGTCAATGTCTCGTTAGTTTTTCTGTTATTCATTCCTGGAGAACTGTCCCCATCCATCTCGCCATGGCTGGTACTGTCAACCCAAATCATTCCCATTCACGCTTTATAGACCCGGGAGTCGCTTTCCCTCACGAATCAGAGCTTGGACCTACATCTCACGTTGGTATCGCATCCTCTCCTTTACTTCCGCGCAACGAAGTGGCTCACTTTTTGTTATACGCCTCTCCAATTCCCCTCTGTACCGCCGGCCTCTCAGCAATACGATCAATCCACTTCAAGAGATGCGGGAAAGGCTCGACTTCTTCTTTGGTGAAACCGCTGCGTTCCCAGTTCTTGACCCAGGGCCTACATCAGACGTCAGCATTACACCTCCCTCATCTCATAGTCCATGCCGTAAGAAAGAAGAGAGAGAATTCATACCAAGTCTTAACATCCGCAACACTATACTTTCCCTTTCCCTTCCCAGCAAGATAGTCCCGTGGCTCTCCCGTATACTTCCCACTCAGATGGATCTCCAACACTCCAAAGACGCGAAGTGTTTCGTTGCGGAAACGAGTGATGGCGTAGGGAATTTTCTCTGGGGCAGCGCGGGAGAAGTGGTTGACTTGGCCTTGGTAGGGGGCTCCGGAGCCGTGCCAGAAGCTACAGTCAACCATTAGTACAGCTTGTGGGCAAAGAAAAGGGAGAAAAGTACAAAGTCCACTGCAAAGCTTGGTTCCGCTCGAGATCATCGGAGAAGCCGAATTTATCCTGTTTGTCGGCGAATTTGAGAAGGTAGAAGAGTTCGGCGGAGGTTTCGTGGACGGTGAAAGGTGGGGATTGGGAGTTGTCGACTAGGACTGGGATGCGGCCTGTGTGTGATGTTAGGGTTTTGTAGAGAAGTAGATTGATGGACGAGCTTGCCGTTGGGGTCGAGGCGAAGGAACCAGTCTTTCTTCTGCTCGTTGGTGCTAATGTCGATGATGGTGGTGGTCCATTCGGTTCCGTAAGCGTCTTTCAATTCTTCGAGGAAGATCTGCACTGCCTGGCCATTTGGAGTGTTTTGGGTGATAAGATGGAGGCCTTTGGCGTTCTTGACGCCAGCTGGGGTTTCGTCGGTGTACAAATTGTGTGACATTTTTGCTGATTTGGGAAGTCTTTCAGTAGCAGAGTCTGTGTCTCTTGAATGCAAATTGTACTTGGACTGGCTCCTTTATACTGTCGGTATCGTTGGTAAGCAAGTGTTGATGCAATGCATCACGTCTTTCGACGCCATTGCTGCCCCTCCGGCAGAGCTCTCCCCACACTCGCGTTGCAGCAGACCACCCGGCACGCTTCTCCGTTCCAGTCATGGAATTGATAGTGTTGCATCCTTCGAACAACCACCCGAAAATGCACCGATGCACAGGGTCGGGTGGTGTCGAGGGACTAGCCAAACACAGGCCGCGTTGAGCCAGACGAGCGGACGCAGACGCTCGCCCGGAAGGCGGTCCCGCGGCCGCCTGTTCTACAACTGCTGAGCTTGGCAGACGTCCGCGAGCAAGGTTGCTTATAAGCTTCACCACGCCCGCCATGCACGCCGCCCTCCTCTGCTCCTGCTGCATTGGTGATGGTAATGCGAGAAAGAGGCTAATTTGAGCGACGATCGAATCAAGAAGGACTCGGGCAGCAGCACGACAGCCTTTGTGCAGGACAAGGCTCGTCCAAGGCACGACAGCCACGAGCTTCTCTGCAAGTGGCACGGAAAGCTTGACTGCACTTGGCACCCGGCGAACGACATCATCGGCAGCGACAGATGCGATAAGGTACGTGCGATCCCTCCACCATCCACCACCGCGTCGTGGAGCGACTGGAGTCACCGTGGGTCGACGGGGCTGCTGGTGGCGCTGTTGCATGGAGAGGTGCGGCCAGAACACCGCAGGCGATGCGCAGCTGGGCGGCACGCATTTGCTGGCTCGCTGCAGCGCCAGAGACGCGCGATGGAGTGATGAGTGATGCGCGAGCGAGCGAGCGTGGCTGAGCAGAGAGCATCGCTCACCACGGCCGCCCATCCATCCAACAACGTTTCTTCCGCCGCGCTCGTCTCGTCCGCACCACCAACAAGCTTCACGCCGCTCGTCGTACCATTGGGGCGTGACTGGCGCGTGTCTGGCGAGACCCTGCCGCCGTTGGTTAACGAAATGCTTCGCAGGACCGCCTCTCTGCAGCCTCCGCCGTCGTCTTGTCGTCGCAACCATTCCGTTGTCGCCTTGGCACCACATCCTGCCGCAACACCCCCAACCACATCCCTCTACTCACCGGCGGCCAGCCGACCGCGTCGCATGC